GAGGGAGGGAGGGGAGGGAGGGAGGTCTTCAGCACTTCCCTGCCTTGCCAAAGCTCCCGGGAGCGTGCGGACACACTGGCCAGAAAGGGCCTGGCAACGTCACAGAGCAGAGGGCAGGCCCCACAGTCCCCCACCACTTGAACCCCACGCAAAAGCGCTGCTGCCGCCACCACGCCGCAGGCGCACCTGGTACAGCGGCTCCAGCGCGGCGTGGAACAGGCGCCAGCAGGCCTCCTCCACGCCCGCCGGCAGGCTGCCCAGACGCACGTGCTGCTGCTGCTGCTGCTGCTGCTGGGGCGGCGGCAGCAGGGCGCGCGCCTCTGCAGGCAGCGCAGAGGCCTGCGGCGGGGAGGCAGTGGCATTCAGCAGCGGCGGGGTGGCACACTCGCCTCGCAACCTCCCTCCCAAGACGGCCAGGGCTGTGATGCAACGGCATGTGCGGGGGCTGCGCCAATTTGACAAGGCGGCGGCCGCCACCTGGCAGGACTGGCTACAGAAGAGGCCAAAGGCTTTGACGTGGAACTGGAAGCCTGGGGTGGTGGCCTGCGCCCACCTGCATGCATGGGTGGATGGGCGCGCGCTGTGGGGCAGGGGAAAGGGAAGGGCAGCGAGGCGGCCTGGTGCTGCCGCAGCGTGGGGCGCCCAGTCCACCGCGAGAACTGGTGCGGGTGAGGCTGTGGCGCTCCCGGGCGTGCAGGCGCACCGCTTGGTGACGTCGGGCCGCGGGATGGCGTAGGTGCTGGTGTCCACTTCCACGCACCCAAAGTGGCGGCTGTAGTGGCGCAGCTTGTCCTCGCTGCCGCGCACGCCGGGCGGGTAGAAGCGGCCGCACCGCACCAGCGACGCGTCGCTCCAGCCGCACGTGCCGTGCACCACCACGGGGGCCCCTGGGGGAGGCGCGGGCGACGGGGGCGGCATGGCGGTGGCTGGGCGCGAGGGTGTGTGGAGGGGTGGCACCTGTGGCGGTGGCGCCGGGGCAACGGCGGCGGCGGGCCCGTCGGCAAGCATGGCAGGCTCAGGAGGGAGTTATCAGATTGGTTAGAGACAAGATATAGGGTAGCACGCGAGCGCCTGAGCTTAGTGCTGCGAGTGTGAGCGGGGTTCAAAACGCAAAGGCCTGCCTATGCTGCGGCCCTGGCAATTGCATTTGTAATAGCGTGACCTGCTTTCTCACAGCAAAGGAGGCGAGGAGCCCCTCGTGCTGTGCTGGCGGTCCAGCCAACCCGGTGTAGACCCCATATGCCAGGCTTGCAACCCAATTGGAGGCTCCCGGGCAGTCAGGCAAGATTCTGGGAGCGGGTTTGGAGATGGAGCCGCACTGCAGGGTCTGCCACGAAACGGAGAGCGGCCCCCGAGGCCTGCAAGACATACTGGTGTCCCCCTGTCAGTGCAGGGGCACCGTAGAGCACATACATCTCAGGCAAGCAGCGCGGCAGGGGGCGGGGCCGGCCTGAAGTCAACCCGCCGAGGCAGTGGCGGCGGCGACGCTGCATTGATGCAGTGGAAGTTCTTCCCACCCCCTTCCCATCCCCACCTCCCCCCCACCCCCGCTCGCCCTCCCCGCAGCTGCCTGCACAACTGGCAGCTGCACAAGGCGCTAGCGCTGCGGGACGCCGCCCGCTGCGAGGTGTGCGGCCAGCCGTACCGCGTGCCCGCCGACGCGTGGCGCGCCTATGCGGCGGCCGGCTGTCAACTCCTTTCCCCTTGTCCCTTCCCCCTCGCCCCCGTCCCCCGCAGGCGAGTCTGGCGCGGCGTGCGCCAAGGCGCTGGCCCCGGGCGGCACGCTGGTGGTGTACGGCGCCATGAGCCACCAGCCCGTCACCATCCCGCCCGGCCTGCTGATCTTCAATGACATCCGCCTGCGCGGCTTCTGGCTGACGGGGGGGTACGCAAAGGTGGGCGGGCGCCTGCGGGCGGGGCAGGGAAGCGCCTGGCAGGGGGGGGCATGCGGCAGGGGGCGCAAGGGAGGGGGCGGCCTGGCCGGGGGTCAGGGGTCGTGGGCGTGGCAGGCGGCGTGGCGGGGGCGGGGGTGGTGGGTGCCGGCCCCGCACCGGCTGCACCCCAGGGCTGCTGGCGGGGGGTGCCCTGCTGGCTGGCCGGCCGGCCACACGACGCTGCCGCACCTGGCCCCTGGCTGTCGGGAACTGCCACGGCTGGCGGGGCGGCACCGGCTGGCCTGGCACGCGACTTTGGCGACGCATCCCACCCGCCGCTGCGCGACGTGGCGGTGCAGATGAAGGATGGGTGGCGGGCCAAGGAGCAGCTGGTGGACCATGTGTGCGCCCTGTTCCGAACAAAGGTCATCAGGCCGTGCAGGTGAATGTGTGTGTGGGGGGGGGGGGGGGCTGGCCCGCCCGCCGCCTGGCCGGGGGAGCACGGGCCGGCTGCTGCTGGGGCACGCCCAGAGGCAGGCGGGCGAGCTCCTTCAAGAGCAGGGGAGTGCAGCGCACCGCTCATGCCCATACCTGCCCCCGACGCTGGCCCTTGCCTGCCCCTCCCCGCAGTGTGGACTGCCTGCCGCTGGATCAGTGGCAGGAGGCGCTGAAGAGAGTGTGAGTGACCCCCGCTGCGCCAGCTCATGCGTGGTGTGGCGTCGGCCAGCGCTGTGCCACCCGCAGCAAGGCTGCTGGGCTGAGCAGCCGAGGGGGGCCGCATGCGTGGGGCACCCTGCGCTGGCGCTGGTGCTCAACTGCGCCTTTTGCCCGCCCCTCCTTCCCTCTCCTTCCCTCTCTACCTTGCAGAGCATCAGACTTCAGGGCAGGCAAGGTGCTGCTCACATCCTATGCGCCCGACGAGGTCAGGGCCGAGTGAGCCGTGCCTGGCGGGCTGGGACCAACAGGCTGGAAATCCTGCCAGTGAAGGTGTTCACTGCCAGTGGACAGTGTGCGCGCCTGGGCGGCACAGGCTGCGCTGGGCACGCAGCATGTATCATGAGCGAGCGCGTTTTCATTTCCAGGGCGGCAGGCATTCCTGCCTGTGATGGCCCATCTTGTATGCTTGATATCTGCATTGATTTTGAGAGTGTTTCACCCAGGGCATGCCCTCTGGGGCAGTGGCCGTGCAAAATGTGCCAGCACCGACAGTGCAGCTGCCGCTGCTGGCGCCGCCGCTTGCGCCGCCGCCAGGGGGCCAAGGTGCGGTGGGCGGATTGGTGGCCTTCGGACCTTCCCATGGGCACCAAGACCGCATTTAAACCCGTTCACGAGAGCTGAATCTGCTGGCGCAGGGATTTTGTTTCTACCATCTGGCAAAACGTGCCGCGCCCCCAACAACACGTGCTACCCTTTTTGGCCGCGGGCGCCGGCCGTTCTCCCATCTATTCCACTTCTGCCCTCGATCAGCCACCCACACACTTGATCACGCGCTCCCAGCCCGTTCCGATACCACCTCCCCTCGGACCAGCCAAACCCGATGTCCCACTCCTGTGCGCAGCGGCGGCTTGCGACCCTTGCGTCGCACTTCTGCGAGACCGCACCTCAGAGTGAGTCCATGACGCGGGCGGCGGGCCCTGGGGTCGCACGTGGGGGGCAGCTCTCAATCCACCCGCCGCCACCCCTTGCATGGCCTGGTGCCGACCCCCCCTGCCCGCCGCACCCTCCGTTTCTTGCCACCCGCAGGCAGGTCCGCGGCCCCGCTGACGCTGCAGCCCACCTGCGGAGGGACTCATGCCGGCGACTGGGTCTATGCTGTGAAGCGCGACCACGACCCTGTGGTGGCGGCACCCTGGGCCTACCAGAAGCAGGCAGTGGCGCCCCGCCCAGCCAAGCAGCCGCTTGCCGTTGACATGCCGGTGCCGCACCTCTAAGGCACCTCTAAGCACCGCATGCGGCAGCCCCAGGACCCACCCCGCCCACGTGCGCACGGCTTTTGCCGGAACGCGCCGGGTGGCGGGACTTGGCGGCGCGCCCCCCCAACGCCCGCCCACCCAACGTATCTCATTCCAGCAATGCAGGACATCTGACTCCTTCAGCAACACTTGCCCGCATGAGGACGCACCTCCCCAGTTTTCGTGCCACCCGCTTGCCCGCCGCAGCGGCGGACGCGCCGCTGCCGCCATCCAATGATCCTCAATGCCTCTATGACCGCCCCTTTCTTCTACCTTTCGAGTGCTTTGTTTGCCGCCTCCAGTGCTTCAGTTGCACCCTACTCTACCCTCCCGTTCCTGCACCCTCCTCTTGAGACGTTTGCCACATACCATGAGTGACTGCTTCTCACCTCCTCATTGCCCCTCGCGTGCCTCGTTTCCCTCCCGCCGACTGCCGTGCGCCCTGATGTTTCTGTCGTGTGACGGCTGGCCCCGTTTGGCCGTCTTTATTTTTGTCCGCGTCACTTTGCCTGCCCTGCCGTGCGAGCCATACACGAGTGCTGCCCTTCCCGAGCGCAGCTGAGCTGAGGCTCCCCCTTGACGATGTCACACCCTGTCGGTGCCCACCCTGTCGGCCGTTTTTGATGAGCGCACTATTGCTTCCTCGGTTGAGAATTGAGAATTGGTTGATTGATTCCTTGGTAACTCTTGTGACACACACACACAAGCAAACAGCCAAGGGGCACAAGGGTGAGTCGCTTAGCGACGGATGGTTGCAACCAAAGGCCGCAGGTCCAGAAACAGCAGGTTGAGCCTGCGCCTGATTCTACAGCGTGCTAATTCAATGATGAATGGCGGCAGCCTCAGGAATCGGGAGGTTGCAACCCTACAGCTTGTGTGGGCTTACAGTCTGGTTTCAGCAAGAACAAGCTTGCAGCACAGACTTTGTTGTTCGAGCAAGGAGGGATGAAGCAGTAGAACAACAGGCAGGACAGGCCAACTGACAGGTCACCGAGCGTTTAGTGTGTGAGCGGGCAGGCAGTACTGCATGTCGTGGAGCAGGTGTGGTGCGGTAAGAGCAAAGGGGGTGGACATGAGAGTGGGGGTTCAGGGCGGGACTGCAGGCAGCGCAACGGTGGCGGTCAGCCAGCGCTGGTGACAGGCGGCAGCAAAGGCGGCGAGGCGGCACGGTTTCTGGCGGAGGAAGCGGTGGGGAGGATGGGGCTCAGCAAACAGGTCAGGAAAGTTGAGGCGCAGCGGGGCGTAAAGGGGGCAGGTGAGCAGCATGTGGGGGGCATCTTCAATGCCGTCGTGGCAGTGGGGGCAGACTCGCTGCTCTCGGGGGCGCCGCGTCCAGCGGCCGGTCTCTTCCGCGCCCCAATGCGACCCGGTGCGCAGCTGCGCCAGCGCCTCGCGGTCCTGCCTGCCTGCCGCCGCGCGTACATGCACAGGCGGGCGTGGGCGCTGGAGCACGTATAAGGGTGTGCTTATCTCCCCCACACAGTCAGCGTGATAAAGAATGCTGAGCTGTTGCACTGCCTCGCTCCCTCACCAGGACGCCTCTAGTGTGCAGAAAGGGGGCAGGTCGCCCAGTGTCAGAAGGGGACAGGTGGGGGCAGCGGTGCCGTCGGACCCTTGAGTTCCCCGGCAGACTTCTGATGATCCTGATCGTGGAGAGTGATCCAGCGCTTCGATGGAGCCATGTGGTGGCCGGCTACTGCCACGGGGCAATTTGCCCTGCTGATGACAAACCCCTGAGCAAGCGCCCCCTACAATCTGACTGGTTTCCAGTGCTTGTGATGCCGCCAGTCGTATCGCTGAGCCGCTGCTACGCGTCGAATCCAGTGCACGGTGCCTCATCGCCTTGGCCCCGCCGGAGGGCCCTGCGACACTCATTGCCCCGCCTGCAGCCCCCAGTACAGCTCATCTGAGGCGCCTGGCGCCGCGCCGCGAGCCCCGTGACGGTGCGAGAGCCCCGGCGGCGGCGCGCGGCACCCGGCGACTCGGCGCCTGCCTGCAGCCATGGGCTTCAAGAGCTTTCTGAAGGGCAGCAAGGAGAAGCCCAAGCTGCTGATTGGCGGGGGGGCAGAGCTGGAGCTTCCCAAGCACTTCCGCCTGCTTCGCAAGCTGGGGCATGGCTCCTTTGCCACCGTGTGGGTGCCACCGGCGGCCGCCGCCATGTGCTGCAAACGAGCGGGCACGCATGTTTGATTGTTTAGCCTCCCTCTCTTGCCTCTGATGTTTACTTGCGCCAGCACCCTGCTGGGCCAGCCACCACTCCCAGCCGGCCTCTGCCGGCCCCCAGCCCACCTTCCTGCCTGCTGCCGCCGCTGGCGTATGCAGGTACGAGGCGGAGCGGCTGACTGACGGCCAGCGGTACGCCCTCAAGGTCACCGAGCTGCGGGCGCTGAGCCAGCTGGACAAGGCGGCGGTGGTGGAGGAGATCCGGCTGCTGGTGGGCCCGCGTGTTTGCCTGCTGGCCGGCCATGCAGCCGGCTGCGCCGCTGCCGCCGCCTTGCTGCACACATGCTGAGCCAGGCAGGCAGGCAGGCGGGCACCCAGGCCTCCCCTACCCTCCCTCACGAACGCATCTCCCACCGCTGCCCGCACCCCCTCCACCCAATTGACCCACCCGACCGGCACCTCCCCAGCCTCCCCACACATCCCCTGCCTCCCACCAGGCCTCCCTGTCCCACCCCAACATCATTTCCTACTACGAAGCCTTCTGCGACCACGACAAGCTGTGCGTGGTGACGGAGCTGGTGGCGGGCGGCGACCTGGGCTCGTTCGTCGCGTGAGCGGGGCGGGGCCAGGGGGTGGGTGGTGGCAGGGAGCGCAGGCCGGCGTGTGGTGGATGAATCGACGGCTGCAGGCAGCAGAGGCGGCAGACGGCTGTTCTGATGTGCCTGGTGGCGCCGCGGGCGCCTGCTGCGACCGCTCGCGAGGCCGTGCCCACCCACGCGCCTCCCCCTGCCGCCTGCCGCCTGCGCCTGGCCCCGTGCAGCAAGCTGCGGCAGGACGAGGGGCTCCTGTGGGAGCGCGAGGTGTGGGCCTACTTCCTGCAGGTGGCGCTGGGGGTGCAGTACCTGCACCACAACCACGTGCTGCACAGGTGGGCACATGTGGGCATTCATTGATTTTGTTTTTTTCTTTCTTTTCTCGCCCGAACATCCTGTGGTGCATGTGTGCCTGTGCCCCAACCCCACACGCCCCTGCCTCCTCGCCCTGCCACCGCCTCCTGCCCCGCTAGGCCTGAACCGTCCCTCCCTGCCCGCCGCGGCCGCCTCGCCCCCCGCCGCAGGGACCTCAAGCCGCAGAACATCATGCTGACGCGGAAGGGCGGGGCGGGGCTGCTGAAAATCGCGGACTTGGGGGTCAGCGCTGAGCTGGCGCTGGTGTTCACCAACATACAGATCGGCACCCCGCACTACATGGCGCCGGGTGAGGCCGGTGCCTGTTGGTATGCTGCTCTCCGGCTCCACCCAGCCTTCCAGCCCGCCTGCCTGCCTGCCTACCTGAGTTGAGCGTCAGCTGGTGAGCGCTGCCTGCCTGGCTGGGCCCGGCCTGAGTGCAGAGATGTGGAACCGCCAGGCTTACTCCTACTCAGCAGGTGGGAGGGTGGGTGGAGGTGGTGGGAGGGGTGGGGGAGCAACCGGGGGCAGAGGCACGTGTGTGCACCCTGGAGGGCCCACCTTGCCCAGAGCATGCTCCCGAGCAGATGGGTAACCAGCAGAGACAGCAGCCGCAGCGTTTGGGGGCCTTGGGGGCCCCCGGGTTGCCGGGTGGCCAGACGCCTTGACCCTGCACCTCATCAGCAGATGCTGTGTCCCTTCTGCGTCCTTGCCCCACCCTACCTTCCATTGCGCCCCTGCCCCGCAGACATCTGGGCGCTGGGCTGCATCCTGCACGAGCTCTGCACCCTGCGCCCCACCTTTCTGAGCGACAGCACGCGCACGGAGGAGGACATCAAGCAGCGGGTGGGCTGGAGAGGCGGCGGGTGCGGGTTGCTTGGGCGGCACGCCTGTCTGGGTGACCGGCATGCCAAAGCGTAGGTCGCCATTTGTTCCTCGGGCGCCTGCCGAGGTGTCCCCCATGGCTGCACCACCACCACCACCACCACCCCTGCCACCACTACCCCCGCCACATGCAAACAGACACACACGCTGACAGGCGCACACCCGGCTGCGCTGGGCGCGGTGCAGGTGCTGGCAGGGCGGTACGATCCCATCCCCGCCCGCTTCTCGCTGGACCTGTCCCGCCTGGTGGCCCTCATGCTGCGCAGGGACCCAAAGGAGGCAAGCAGGCCACCGGCCGACCCTGCCGCCGCCGCAGCCCGCCGCTCCGCTGCCACCCGCCGTTCCGCACCACCCGCCGTTCCATGCCCTGATTTGCTGCTGCAAGCTGCTGCGCCCTGCCACGCCCTCCTGCTCGCCGCTCCCCCTGCCCTGCCCACTCACCTTCCCGCCGCTCTCCCTCCTCCTCGGGTCCCCTCCTCCTCCCCCTCGCTGCATCCCGCAGCGCCCCACCATCGACGAGATCATGGGCATGCCCGAGGTGCGCTCCAAGCTGGGCTACCTGCCGCAGGAGCTGCGGGACGTGGCAGCGGCGGCCGACGGCAGCGGGCACCAGGAGCGGGGCAGGCTGCGGGAGAGCCATTCCTTGGAGGCAAGCTTGCTTGCTTTCTTCCTTGCTTTCTTCCTTGCTTTTCTCCTTGCTTTCTTCCTTGCTTTCTTTTCTCGTTCTTGCCTGCTTCCTTGCCTGCTTGCTTGCCCGCTTGCTTGCCTGCTTGCTTGCTTGCTTGCGCTTGCTGTGTTTGGTGTGGTGTATTGGCGGTGAGGAGGCGAGACAGGGGCAGGGCCGGAACGGGGCGCGCGGGGCTGCAAGCGTTGGTGCGCTCCAGCCCTTGCCCGGCTCACCCGCCCCATGCCCTCTTGCCCCCCGCCCGCCCGCCTGCCAGTGGCAGCTTCCGGAGGAGGGTGACGACATGCGGCGCATGAACTGCCTCATGCCGCGCCCTCGCTACGCCACCGGCGGCGGTGTGGCCGACCTGCTGTGCCGCTCGGGAGGCACCCCACCCCTCCGCCGCTCATTCAGTTCGCCAGACATCGAGCGCCTGGCCGCCGCAGCCGCGGCAGCGGCAGGGGAGGGCGGCGGCGGAAGCGGTAGCGGCGGCGAGAGCGGAGGGCAGCGGGCGGCAGGTGGCGCCCGCGTGGGCAGCCCCCCGCGCCCCCGCTCCGCCGCCGGCCTCCTGGGCCAGCCTCCGGCTGACGACGGCAGCAGCGAGGGCAGCGGCGGCGGCTCCGACGGCGGCGACGGCTTTGCCAACGGCGGCGGCGGGGTAGGTGTGCACTACCGGCCGGGCAGCAGCCTGGGCAGCCTGGGTCTGGAGGAAGGCGAGGAGGCACGCCTCCGGCGCCGCTCCATCATGGTGGGAGAGCTGATGCACCGGCTGCAGCAGGAGCAGGAGGAGGCGGGG